AAAATGGAGTCTAGATAGTTGGAGATCAGTTCGGTGGGGCAGGAGCAGGCGGAGACAATGGGTCGACCAGGGCATTCAGGTTTGTGGTTGCTTATGCTGTTTGGCATGCAAGTCATCCTGTTTGCTAGCTTTGCAAAGTCAACACCTCATTTTCAGGTATGCCTGGTGATGTTCCTGGCATGCCCTCCCACACTCTCCTACTTCTCTGCAATGTTTCTCCATTTAATTAATATTCAGTTCCTCCAAAGTGCATAAACTCCCATTTTCCAACAGTATATTCCATCTACCAAGTTTTTGTCCACTCACTTGTCCTTTCTATTCATTTTCCAGTCTCTTTGTGTCATCCTCACTGTTTGCCATCCCATCTGTTTTCTTCATCCGCAAACTTGGCTCGAGTACATTCACCGTCCTCATTTAATTCATTATTATATATTGTATATAATTGTGGCCCCAGCACTAATCTCTGTGGCCCAAAACTGGTTATGGGTTGGCATCTTGAAAATGGTCCCATTATCCCAACTCTATTCTTTTATTCAGACAATCCTCTAACTGCACTAATATCTTACCTCCAACACTATGAGCTCTTATCTTAAGTAACCTAATGTAAAGTACCTTGTCAAATGCCTTCTGAAAATTCAAACATTACACCCACTGCTTCACCTTTGTCCATCTGGCTTGTTCTCTTCTCAAAGAATTATAGTAAATTTGTTAGGTATGATTTTCCCTTTATGAAGACATGCTGATTCTGCTCGATTATATTATGTACTTGCAAATGCTCTGCTACAATGTTACATCCTTTATTAACAACAAACATTATTCCAGTAACAGACGTTAAGCTAACTGGCCTATGGTTATCTTGCTTCCCCATTTTCAATAAAGATGTCACATTGGTAGTTTTCTATCCTCTCTAAGGGTGAGTGCCAACGAACGTGTGGACTTTTAAGGTAAGCAAACAATAAAACGAATATCGTTCAAAATATTTACTTTTCTCTGCAGTAAAATTAATGTTGGCGCAACTTGAAGACATAACTTAGGAGCGCCCCCTGCTGTTACGTACACTTGGGGAAATTGATCATTATGATGATCTGTGGATTTGATAGTGTCTTCGGTACCATAAATCACTTCACTTGCTTTCGACAATTTATACACCAGAGATTTTCTTTCACACTGTGCTCTTGGAATTGTTTCCAAACGATGCATTTAAATATTCTGCGAGGTTCATCTGTTGTCAGTGTGACACAGGTTTCTGCGAATTTCTGGAGTATTGCTTGGATACAAACTCTAAGGTACTTCTTTGGCTTCGTCCCGCGTCACTCTTTAATATTGTTAGCGGATCACATGATTGCATGTTCCATTCTGTTCATTGACAGTAATGGAAATAGATTCCTAGATGACCTAACACACAAACCCGGAACAGGAATTATCCTAAATATTCCGAAAAGCACGCAGCTTGAATACGAATATTATGTATTATTTATCATGACTCGTATACCATTCAATTGTCTAGTTATCTTTTTGTTCCCTTTGAAGGGGAATTAAAAACGCTTTTCTTTTCCTTCTATCGTGATTGTCAAATTACCTGAAATGCACAATTCGAATAAGATACTGGATAACTGGTGGAAATTTTGCAGGGATTTGAAGACAAAAAGCCGGTGACGCCGTCTGTTATAGATCACCGTGTTTGGAAAGGTTCTGATATTTTAGTTTGCTGCTCCAGGAATTGCAGTCTGGGTTAGGAATATGAAATCATGTCAAACGTCAAAATATGTAGCAAACAAAATGTCATATTGAATTACTAAAGCGTGTGTAATGACGTCTTTGCGACATTGTGTCCTAAGCAAATTATTTGCCATTTGTATGATTTTAACTTTTTCCGCCAAAATAGTTAAGCAAGGGGAAAACACTAGCTTAGTTCTCCAGTTGCTCCTGCTGATGACATTTCTAGATTGAATTCGCCCTCTTTGCTTCATAATAGCATTTTAATTATCTCTTTTGTTAATTATTCTCGAATTGTTACTGTCACCAACCAACACGTGATCTTTTACCTTTAAATGTCTAAATGAATTGTAGTTAGACCTGATCTATTCTTGTTCACACTCTGATAACTCTTTTTCAAAGATCAAAATGTGTCATGTTATCGGTCAAAGGATTAACTTTGCGTTGCATTTCTTAATTTATAAAAAGACGCGATGGGATGGTGTTGATATTCTATTTCATTCATTACGAGCACGGTTTAAACAGCGTATGGGAATTTCATATACACACCTATATAGGTAAGAAAGAGTCCCATTCTAAAAATCCACAATTGCATCGGTTTTCACAAATAATCAAGCAAGATAGTGCCAATGTTGATGCTTTTGCCAGTATATGATTTTACCACCAGAAAATAGCTGAAAGATGAACTAAATGCTGTGATAGCAAAGGAAGTGCACACAAATCCCTTACACAATGAAAATATTTACCTTACACACTGCAAAACGGAGCAATTGTTAATTTAAGATGCATCTAGTTAAACAGAATGCTTGCTACCTTACTGCACTGTAAAGCATTTGGATTTTAACCGATTCTTCCGGAAGTGGACGGACGTGAGAGAGAACAAGGGAGAGAGTTTCCTTTTAAATTGTGTTTGTAATTTTACAATACTTTTATCTTTGACATCTTTAGTGCAGACGCTATATATTTTTAGTCATTCCTTTTATATTTGAAGTACAGGCTTCAAATGAAACAAATGTAGTCTTCAAGGGGTTCTTTTGCCTAGGAATTCTTACCTGGTAAGCATCAGGAATATTGACCGTCTGCCCGTGTTCCGCCACATAACCAATGATTCCTTTCCCCCAGGGGACCTGCACTTCGTTCGAGTTTTCCATACTGCACGAAGGTAGCACTGTGGTCCCTGCGTGCACATCGAAGAATTTGGATACTAGAGTCTTTTTATTGGAAGTTCCTTCCACAAGGAACAAGGAGCATCGGTCGGCATCGACAAGGATACAGACAAAAATGAGGATTTTGTAGCTCAGGCTGGTCAGGTCCAAGTCATTGGAGATGTCTTTGACGAGTTCCAGAAAGAATTCTCTCTCGTTGGTATCCCTGGGTTCACATTTATAGTCGATCGCCGTGGATGCATACTGGGGGATATTGACCCGAGATTCCAATAAGGCGCTCAAGATGTGGGCTGTGGTGGGAGGTAGCGAGCTGGCTTTCCTGAGGAGAGCTCGCCTCCTCATGCTGGAGAGTGGTTCCTTGTCCCTGGAGTTCACATGCTCGTCGTAAGTCCTGTTGACGGTCATCGCCTTAGATCTGGCAAAGTTTTTTCTGAGTTCCCGCTGGGAGGGTCTCCTCTGCACGCCATCTCCTTTGGTCACCCAGCACTCCTTAGCGGCAGTGCCCTTCTCCCCCGAAGTGGGAGTCGGTGGGGTTTTGCTGAGATGATGCTGCTTGAGCCATTTCTCCACCGCGCTATATTTGCCTTTCCTCAGCAAGTAGTCTTCAAAAAGATCTGGATGATTATCCAGGAAAGTTTCCACTTCGGAGAAGTCTAGCTTTGTAGAACTCGACATAGCTGAAACTAGAGAGGTCTTAGTCAGTCTAACGAATTGTATCCCACTGAAGTATCATATCAGCATGTTCGGTCCTTAAACTGCACGCACTGTAATCTACAGGTTAAAATTCAGGCATATTAAAGTGAATCATCCGCCTGAGCGCCATGCTGTATATTTACACAACCGCACTCTATGATTTCTCACTATCGATTGCTGTGAGCAGCCTACTGTTTGATGCTTTCTGGTATCTTGCCGAGAATGGAATGACAGCCTAGTCGGCTGTGTTATCTGCCCATGTTGGGAGCGCTGATGCTGCGTAACAAGGCACGGCCAAGAATGACAGAGAAAGCGTGGATCCTCCTGATCCACTGACGTAGGGGGGTCACTGTTTGCTGCCGAAGTCTATCCTGATCATAGAAAAGAACAATTGCTTTTCTGGTGCAGTAAAATACCGCTCCTACTTTGCTCCGTCCTTGCCAGGATGAACAATTAATACCATTTCTGGTAAACCTTCAAGAAATATTAGATTGCATTCTCTAGCATACTGATATCGAAAAAACTATGATGAATGGGTTCTGATGTGTAAGAACGGCAAATAGACCTATTCTCAGAACACAAAGGTTCTTGACTGACGGACTATTAATGACAAGCCGATCTTTTACCTGAATAAAAGAATATGTTCGACTATATTATCATCTACTGGTAGATGTAAATGAGACATTTCTAATCTAAACAATTATTTTTATTTTGTTTCTAGTTAGCACAATATTCATTTTATTGTTCTCTGCATCGAAGTAATTTACTATTAAAGGAATATGCAGCGTTAAACAAATAGGATAGGAAAGGCACAGACCGATCCCAACAACGTACTGTAATTAATGGATTATAATTGCCTCTAACACGCAGCAACTTCAATGAGAAGTGTTCAACTATGGACTTCTTACGCATCCTTCCCCCAAACATCTAAACATGTTCTACAACCGAGAGGACTGTTTCGTAGGATCTGTGTTCCGTGTCTTACAATCTATTTTCTAGCGAAGATACCCCGAGTTAAAGCTGGCACATCTTACATGGTATCATGAAAAGATCCAGCAGCATCAATGTTTTCACAACTCATTTATATGCACCGCGCCCACAAGTGAAGGCGGTCCCTCGGTGCTCCCGGAGAAATGTGTTACTACACCAAACACAATCCAAGTAAGATGTGCAGGGCGTATTTTTGAAAAAAATAAATTTTCAATAATCAGAGAAGTAACGGAATAGAATAAAGAATAAAGAACTGTTGTCTGGATCCTCTTTCATGCATGTCAATGAAAGTCTTATTTGTTCACCTTCTGTTGAGATTTATCTCTGTATGGCCAGTTGAGTCTGGAATGAGAAGCAGCAGAGCTCGGAATAAAGTCAGTGTGTGTGTGAGAGAGAGTAGAGAGGCGAGCAGCGCCGAGGAGAACAGATTTCGATTCCAGCCTGGGATTTTTCTGAAAGACTTTCAGCTTCATGACGAAAGCCATGTCGGTGACTGAGACGCATGCGCGCCCGCTGCCTTTCATTGATGAGGAGGGAGGCTGTCCGCTCCTTTCCGGGTAAATGGGCCAGTTACAATCTGATTGTTTCAAAACCATGTGGCTGGCTCGTCAGCTCGCACAGTACTTATCCCGTCCACTGGATTTTTCTCTCTGTAACTCTGATCCCCTGATGGTTGATGTTTTCAGGTGCAAGCCATGACTAGATGTTGTGCTTGTTATGAATGGCGAGTGGGATTTAAAGTGCTGTGTGCGAAAAAGCAGCGATCTGTGCACTGGCAGCCTCATATGAAACTACTACGTCGAGCCTACGTCTATATTTAATATTTAATTATTACCAAACTATTTTAAATTAAATTACAGAACCGATTCACCTACAGTAAAATGATTAGTCTGAACAATGGGTAGTCATTAATTGTCTTCCGAATGGGAATATTTGTGGGTGACTATGATGTTATTTAATTGTAAAACTGAAAATATTGAAAATGCTTTGATATCGATAAATAGGGTTGTGATAGACTAGTAGAGTCACTGAGCCAGTTTAGAAGAATTGATAAACCGTTGTTTTCGGTTAATAAAGAGCCCCTTCCGGCAGTGTTTCAAGCATTCTGATTCGAGGAACAGTGACATCTCCGCCGAACGTGGAGTCATAGTATCGTCAATTCCGATTGCAAACAAAACTGCTGACTGCCTTAGTGTACCTTTCACCAACTGTCACAGTTTAATATTCAGTTCGAGCAAGCTGCATTATGTGATCTGGAGGAAACAAATATACTGCCGCCTCCAATATTTACCGTTATAGACAAGCCTACTTGCCAGGTGAAGGGGCTCAGAAATTAAACCTGTTTTTTAATTGCTTTGTACTTTGTTTAGAAATGCTGTTCGCAATTGGAACTTGAGCTGGTTTGTCCTTTCAATGTAGCTGTTTCATCACATTGGCTTCCTCTGAAACAATGAAATGCTGCAGTTAATTATTTAAAAACCAAAAGAACTGCGGATGCTGTAAATCAGGAACAAAAACAAAGTTGCTGGAAAAGCTCAGCAGGTCTGGCAGCATCTATGGAGGAGAAAACGAAGTTAACGTTTCGGGTCTGCTGACCCTTCCGCAGAACTGAGGAAATTATTTACTGAGTTTATTATTTACACTGAGTTAATTATTTACACTGTTTAATACATTTTAACAATTAATCTAATCATTTTTGAAAACGCAAGTTTATGTTTAATGTTCATAACATAATACTTCTTTCAACTGAGATAAATCAAGTTAAAGGCATTTAAGGCAGAGGTCTTCTTGTATCTGTCAATGTGGTACAATGGAGCAGAAGATGGGAGGGGATATTTAAATTGCTGTCTCCGTTAATTTGCACACCTTCCAAATGAAACCAACACATGGAAACACTCTGATTGAAATGTTATCCGCAACATTCTAAAAGCAATCCTTCCTGTCCAAACTTCAGACTAACAAATCCCATAGTCCAAAGATATGCAGATTAGGTGGATTGGTCGTGGTAGATTGCCCATAATGTCCAGGGATGTGTAGGTTATGTGGGTTAGCCATGGAGAATGCAGGGATAGGGTAGGGGTGGTGAGTCTGGGTGGGATGCTCTTCAGAGAGTCAGTGTGGACTTGTTGAGCTGAATGGCATGCTTTCACACGGTAGGGGTTCTAAAAAAAATTTCAAACAATATTTATAGTATTTTCATATTGATGGATGATCACAAAATGCTTCACAGGAAATGCTTTATTCAGGAAACCCAATCGGTTCAAGTTGCCATATTCTTACCAGTCCATAGGGCTGCTCTCTCATTAGAGAGAGACAACTGGTGGTGGTTTAACTTGAGGGTCACCACACCTCAGGCGAGGGGAGAGGTTGAGAAGTGGAGTCTTTCACGGTAACCTCAGCTGGCATGGGAATTTGAATCCACACCGTAGGCATCACGCTGTTTCACAAACCAACCATCCAGCCAACTAGCTAAACTGACTCCACCCAATCAATTAATATCTAGCAACCATTTACAAAATTGAAATAAATAAGCAGCCAAACTGTTCTTGACAGTGGAGAAAATATAAACATTGCCTGGGTTCCCAGGAGAATTTGCAATTTCTTCAATTAGTGTTTTGGGATGTTTTACATCCATAGAACAAGCTTAGTCTTAGTGTCACAGCTACAGACATCTGACCATGAATCATTAACTCTGCATTATACTGAATGTCAAACTCGACTATGTGTTCATGTCCGAATGACACACTTGAATTCATACCTAAGGCAGAATGTAATCTTGGGGTTTTCAATGCCCACCACCACTACTGGTCGAACTGGTTAAGTACTAAAGGAAATAGTTGCTAGACTGGGTCTGCAGCAGGTGGTGAATGAACTAACAAGCGGGAAAAACATACTCAGCCTGATTCTCACCAGTCTACCCGCACATTGAAATTACTTTGCACAACGTTCAACACCATTTGTGACTCCTCAGATGCTGAGGCAGTCCATATCTAACTGCAACAAGACCTAGACAATATCCAAGCATGGGCCGAACAATGGCAAGTGACATTCACATCGCACAATGGGCAGGCAATGACCATCTCCAACAAAACAGAAACTAAACATTGATCCTTGACACTCAGTGGCACAACCATCACTGAATCCCCCACTATCAACATTTTGGGGTTACCATTGACCAGCAACTGAACTGGACTAGCCATATAAATACAGTTGATATGAGAATAGCTCAAAGAATAGGAATCTTGCAGACAGTAGGACTCTGCTGATTCCTATCTACACAGCACAAGTCTGGAGTGACATGGAATGCTTGTCTCAATGAATACAACTCCAACAACACAAGAAACTTGACACCATCCAGGACAAAGCAACCAGCTTGATTGGCACCAGATCCATAAACATTCATTCCCTCCACCACTGATGTTCAATAGCAGTAGCTGTGTACCATATGCAATTTGTGCTGCAGAAATTCACCATCTTAGACAGCACCCTTCAAATCCACAGCCACTCCAATCTAGGAGGAAAAGGACAGCAAATACATGTCAATACCACCACCTGCAAGTTCCCCTCCAAGCCACTACCATCATAACTTGGAAATATATTGCTGTTCCCTCACTGTCGCTGGGTCAAAATCCTGGAGTTCCTTTCCTAAATGTTGTGAGTTCATCTACAGCACAAACTTTTCAGCAGTTGAAGAAGAGACCTTCTGAAGGGCAACTACAGATGGGCAACAAATGTTGGCCCAGCAAGTGATACCCATATCCCATGAGTGAGAAAAATGTCAGACTACCCCTGGAATATTGTGAACAGTTGTGGACCACTTGTCTATGAGAAAATTTACTGGCTTTGGAGACAGTCCAGAGAAGGTCACCTAGGTTGATTCCAGGTATGAAGGATTTTTTTATGAGGAGAGGTTAAGTATGTTGGGCTTGTACTCATTGGAGTTTAGAGAATGAAGAAGAAATAATTGGTGCCATGTGAGCACAAGAGTGCAA